TGTCTTATCTCAAACACCAAGAACAAATAATAATAATAATAATAATAATAATAATAATAATAATAATAATAATAATAATAATAATAATAATATTAATATTAATTCATCTAAAGATGATTATTTAACAGCATTATTAAATTCTGATCCTCAACAACCAAATGAAGTATCATTGATACACACAAATAAACAACAAATAATTAATGATAATAATCGTATAACAGCTATAGCTAATGAATTATTTAATTCAGCAACAATAGCAAATAATACAAATGATGATTTTACATCATTATTTGAAAATAAAGAATTTCTTGACTGTTTAAATGATTCAACAGCAATTGATTCAATATTATCACAAAATTCTACAAGTCTTATGGAACAAACATGTCCAGCAACAACAACAACAATAACTAAACGTAGTGAAAAAGATGAAAAAGCTATTAGTGAAATTTATAAAACACTTTTAACTTCATTTAATCCCGGTAAACAACAAAAACAAACAAAAAAAACATTTTAAAATATTTTATTTTTCTTTAGGTTCATCACAACAATCATCATTAACTATGGATTCTTTAACTGTTGATAATAATTCTTCTAGTAATAAAAATTTAAAAAAAACTAATTTTCATTTATTACTATTTCTTTATTTTTAAGATTCTATTACCGGTGACTTTCTTTTTACTGAAAATACGAATACAATTCCATCAAATCGAACAGTTAATCATGATCCATTATCAACAATTTATTGTCAACCATCTGCTCCACTACCTTCATCAACATTTCCATATTCATTAAATGTAATAAAAATTTCCTCTTAAATTTTTTTTTAAAATTCTAATCTCTTCATAAATTGATTTTTTTTCTTTTAATTTTTTTAGAATACTCAATTTTCTGATTGTCTTTCAATGGATCTACTTGATAATGGTGGTTCATTTCCTCCAAATGTAACACTATCACCTATGAATAATTCTTATTCATCACCATCAACAACAACAACACTTATGAATACAAATTCAATGATAATGTATCCACAACAATCGGACACACATATTCAACATCGACAAACACCAAATAATATTTATCGTCAAACTTCACAACAACAACAACAACAACCACCACCAATGTATAATAATTATGTTCAAACATCATCATCAAATCAAGTTACTCCTGGCTATTATTCAATGCCACCATCATCAACAAATCAACAACAACGAATATCACCTGGTAATCATCATCATCCATCATCATTAGCAAAACGACAAACATTAATTCAACAACAACAACAACAACAACAACAACAACAACAACAACAACAACAACAACACCAACAACAACAACAACACCAACAACAACACCAACAACAACAACAACACCAACACCACCAACAACAAAGAGCTTCAGCACATCAACAACAAGTTCAATTTCATATGTCTATGAATGTTACTTTACCACATGTAAAAATCAACTATTCTAAATTCTATTTATTTGTTTTTTTCCTCTTTAGATGATTACAAATCAACAGCAACAACAACAGCAACAACAACTAACACATCGACGTATGTTGTACAATAACAAAAAACAAAGGAAAGCCTTAAGTTAATTTTAATTATATTTATTTTAGCTATAATGAATACATATAATGATTTAATGATGTCAAATAATAATATGCCATCATTGCAACAAGACTATCATCAATATTCAAATAATAATTCACTTGATCTTCCCTATAATTCTGATCATTTTATGTCACCATCATCAACTATGGGGCAACAATCGATGCAAAATCGTCATATAAATGTCCATCCACATCAACAACCTCCACCTCCACTACCACCATCTCTACCTCCTCCACATTCACAAGCTACAATGCATCAGGTATATTTTTTTGAAACTAATAATAAATCTAACAATATCATCAATACATAAATTAAACTAGTTTTTTGCTACCTAATTATAGATACGAATCATAACGTGTACACACAAACAAAAATCAGAACACTAATATTGATTATAAAAGCATGTGTAAAGATTGAAATTTATCTAATTATACTATGAGATCAATTGATAGCATTTATATATATATATATAAATGAAATCACTGTACGATGTGAAAATCAGATATGTCTATTGTGACTAGAAATCTGTCGCTGCCCTAGAAGAGACAAAGCTCAGTACCACTGCCATGACGCAGTCCTAGAAGGGACAAGGCTACTACGACGCGACTGAAATCTAAATCTACCGCACCGCTGTCACGACACGGTGAACTATATAAAAAGTTACCGTTGTCGTGCAGTTGTCGCGATGATATTCATGAGATATCTCTTGCGCCGCGATGGTTTTTAAAACAACCTGCCTCTGATGTCATCGCGGCAGCGACAGCGCTGCCATGGACATCTCTGGTGCAAATCTCATTTGTACAAGTTTACTAATGGAAAAACTTCGATAATTAAATTCGAGCTAATGACGTATTGAAGTTATCCGTATAAAAATATATAGAACATATGCATTTCTTTCGAAATAAAGACAATACATTTTTTTTTAAGACTTCTCTCTCAAAAATCGATCTTAGCCTAGAAATATTCAAATGGCCTAAAATTATCAGGATATGTTGAGACTGTAGTAGAGCAACTATGGTAAAATTTTCAGCTCGATATCGTGATGTTTGAGGGAGATATTGACTAAACAAGGGTCATATATAGCTCATTTGGCAAACCAAATTTCTCTATCCAGATTCATTCTATATATTTAATATTTTTTGCTTGAAAGAGCATGTTAGAATGCAGTTTCTATAAGAGCCTTGTTTTTCTTTAATTCTTACTTTTTAAGGGAGGAAAAGGAATCGTTTATGAAAGATTAAATGACGAACTGTCTTTCCATGCATTTATCTTAATTTCGACCATTCTGACGAAAAATAACTTTTTTTGAGGGGAAGGCTTTAAATATACTTAATCTGATTAATTCACTATCTAATTCAATTTATTCTCTCAATATTTATTAAATAACCTTCAAGTTTTTGACTCTTAACTAAATCTTAATTATATCGTTTTTGTTCTTTTTTTGGCTTTTATATATCGAAATTAATTCTTTATAAATAGAAAATGCGATTGATTATATTACTGATAAAATATGAATCAAACAAAAAGGATTTACGTTATAATGACCTTTGTTTGAGTACTTTTTTTTTCTTTTTGCTATTTTTAATACAAAAAAAAAACAAGAAACTTTCTGAGTTATCAATCATTTTATTCTTTTTTTCTTCCATCATTCTTCATAAGAATCCTTATATAATTACTTCAGATCAATTTATAAATGTTGCATGTTAAAAATAAAACACGAGATTATTTGATCAAATTAATATACATAATAAATATCAATTAATTAAATGATGTATATAGGAAATTTAACTTAATTGAATTAGATATTTTAAGACAAAGCATGAAGTAGAAAAATAAAAAGCATACATTCATGACTTTCTTTTATAAGACAGATGACATATTAAATAACTATAAGGTACATATCTAAGTAACTAGAAATAATGGAATATGACTGTGAAAAATAAGAAAAAAAAATATTTATTATTTTTCATGTTTTGTTAATATTAACTTAATATTTAAAAAAAAAAAACAATAACTAGTATATAGATTACCTATCTATTAACGGATTAAGTTATATTTTTTTTTTCTCATCTAATTGAAGATTTTCTTCTTGATGTGAACAAAATACAAATTACGTATTAGAATTTTATAATCTATTATAGGACAATTTCTTTTTTTTTTTTTTTCTTGAAAATATTACTCAATCTATAAATAATAAGAAAGGATATAAATTTTCAATGTCAAGGACATAAATAGAACGAAAAAAGAAATAAACGTATCTAAAGAATATCTTTTTCATTTTATTCTACGCTTACCTTGTATTGGCATTCGACTATTGAAAGTACTCAGACATTGAATCACAAGTAATGTCTCGATATAAGATGATAGAATACAAAAAAAACCACAATAAATCGATTTTTAATATATAAATCATTATTGTCATTTGTTATCATCCTATAAAAAGAAAATAAGTAAAAATATATTCAATATACTATACCAATAATAGAATATATAATAAAAAACCGTTTTTCTCGTGTCTCTGGTTGACTATCTTACATTAAAAAAAAAAGGCAAAGATTGTCTGTGTCTATTTATAAAAGTTATGATGGCTCATTTTTTTTTTCCTTGTCTATTGTCAAATGACAGATCAATAAATAGTACTTATTAACAACATATTTACGTCCTTTGAAGAAAAAGAAAAAAAAAAAAAGAAGATATAGCTTATAAACAAAGAAATAAAAACAGAAACAACTGAATCAGTATCTTTTTTTATATTCGTGTTATTTACCGATAAAAACTACACATATTATCTACGAAATGTTAGCAGGTCATTATTTTGATTGATTAGATTCTCTTGGTTTTTCTTTTATCGTTCGTTTTCTAAAGAACAATTACGTACAAAGAATTTTTCTATATTTGGATATTTATATCTTCATTACAAGGACTCAAAGATAAAATAAAAAAGAAAAAACGAAATATTATTTTGAATAAACATATGCTTGATAACAAAAAAAAAAAAGTATAAATATCTGTTGCTAGTGCGTACCATAATCTCGTTATGACGTAAAATAGATGAAGAGAAAATGCAAGAAACAAAAAACCCCATTCGTACTTCTTTTCTCTGTTTTTCTCTCGGTCTCTCTCTCTCTTTCTATTATATTTCTATTCAAGGCTTCAGAGAAAAGAACTATTTCTTTGTTTGTTTCTTGACAATTTCAAGGTCCTATTTCTGATTAGAATAACCTAGAATCAAGAAATAATACCAAGAGAATAGAAAAAGAAAATGTAATAGAGAAAGATAAAATTTTATATTTAAATGTTATATGATTCCAATTTTTTCTCGAAAAAAAGTCATGATTATATAATAGTAAATATTCAATATAATCTATTTATATTCATCTTTGATACATGGCTCAAGAAAAAATAAATAGAAGAGGTCAAGGTAGTTGTTGAACAAGAAAAAAAAAAAAGAGATCACGAATTCGGGTTAATCAATTGCTCACATAATATTTACTTACTTCTATTAACATGATATTAGTAATGATTGTACATGTATATATCAAATAAATAATAAAGATATAGTCTTTGAGTTTGTATTCATGACGTTGAGTGAATAAATCGGTCATCTGTTTGCTAAGAAATTCGATTAATTGAACATAAGAAATAGTTCATTCTTCTTCCGTTCTCTCTCTCTCTCTCTCTCTCCTCCCTATTTTTTTTCTTCCTTCTTCATCTCTTCTCTGGTCTAATGATCGTATACATGATCAGGATTGAGTAACTGACATAGAATGTAAAAAAAAAAAAAAAAAAAAGAAAAACCGAGAAGCACTATTCTTATTCATTGGCGGATGTCCTCGAATTTCTACTCTTTCATTCTCGTTTGTGCTTCTAAGTTCAAGGCAACACTTCTTCTCTTCTTTTTTTGCTTCATATGACATATTGGACAAGAAGACCTTGACACTGGTTGAAGAAATATATAGAACAAATGAGCTCATCTGATAGAATAGAGGAAAAAAAAATAAGGGGAAATGATTCTCTTATTACTTCCACAAATAAGTTATATACGATAAGATCAAAATCAAAAATTAGTAATAGATATTGAAGAAATATTAAACTTCATCTGATAATTCTATTTTGTTTTTATTGTTTTAGCCATATCCTAATATGAGTGTAGCTCTTTCGGCAACTATACAACAAAATTCACATAGTAAGTTCTTTTTTTTTCTTCTTCTTCTTTTGGATTTAATTATTTAATCAATAGATTTATATAATCTAGATTCAAATAATCTCATGAATCCATCAATACCTAATTTAACGTCTGCTGAATGTCGTCAATCAGAAGAACTCAATAATCAAATGATGAATTGTTTGAGGTAAATTAAATCATAAAAAAAAAAAATTTTTTCTTTTTTTTTTTTGGTTTTCTTTTTCTATTGATAATTATTGTATCTTTTTCCTTGATAGTTTTCAACCTGTTCGATCGACTAGTGAATTTGTACGAAAACAATTACAAAATACAATTCAAGGACGACAAAAACCAACTGGTGGAAAAGATTTATCTGGAGTAACAGGACATAATTCATTATCAGCAAATCTTGATTGCAGTAAATTAATTTGAAATTTTAATTAGAAATTAATTTGTTTATTTTTTTTTTTTCGTTTTAGATCAAAAAGGAGCATTTTTTCGAACTCATTTGTCTTCTCAAATGTCAACTCCTCCATTACAAACAACAATAAGACCTCAACAACAAGACAAAACAACATGAGTTTATTTTATTTATTATTTTTTTGTCTATTGTTTATTTGTTTGTAATTATTCTTTTACACATTTATTTATTCGTTTATATTTATCATTGGTAGTCGTAGTATCATTGTCATACTATGTATGAGAAATGATTAAAATTGCAGCAAAAAAAAAAAAACCAGAAAATCGAGCAAGAAACATCTTTTTTTCTCCTGTTTGATTTTGTCGTTTGTTGCTCATCTTTGTTTTTAGTTATTGTTCGTATTTTTTTTTTCTTTTTTGAATATGTATGTACGTTTGAGAAACATAAAACAAAAAAACAAGGTGATGTTGCACCAGTCCAACTTGTGTAAAAAAAAAACAACCAACAAAAAGAAAGACATTTGTCTGTCTATGCGTGTATGTGTGTGAAAACCAAAAGAACTATTCTTTTTTTTCTTTTTCTTTTTTTTGTTTTCGTCTAATTTTTAAATACAATTTTTATTTGAATATGCTCGCAGCTTAACTATATCCATAATTAATTATTGCATAGAATTCATTTCATAATCCTTGACTTCTTGATTGCGGACATTTTTCTTTAATTGGAAGAAAGAAAATGTCTGCAAAGCGGAATAGAAGGAAGATAGAGAAAAAATGTTGGCAAAGCGCCGGATCATAGAAGATGAGAGAAAGAGAAAAAAAAATGTACGCATCATGTAAACATGCAAACATAGATATAATAAGATGATCAGTTTAGATAGCTTGATTCAAGAGAAATTAATCTAGCATTTTATTATATTACGTAAATCAAAATTTTCTCAAGGTCTGCCTACAATAATCAATCTTGGGTCAAGTGCATTCTAAAATTTCCAGGATATATTGAGATTATAGTGAAAAGTCTATACTAAAATTTTCAATCTTGTATCATAAAATTTTTGAAAGATATTCAACCTACAAGGATCAAAAATAGGTTATTTATTCTCTGTGAGTTTTCATTCTATAGATTTAATTGTTTTTTCTCATCTGAAAGACTATGTTTAGACTGCAATACCTTTTATTTTTTAATTTTTACTTCTTATGCAGAGAGGAAAGATGAGAAGTTTAATACCTCGAAAACAAGTTATCTATTTATAGTAGTACTTTTTTTTTTTTTATATAATAATAAGAAAGCTTTATTTAAAAAATGTGCATTGCAGCTTCATATTCTGTTGTAAGCAAAAAAACAAATGGCTACTATGAAATTCCTTCGAGAATTGTGGGTTGTACGATTAGAAAAGCATAAAATAGAGAAAAAAAAACATTTTTTTTTAATATAGAAGATCACGGAAATTATTAACGATGTGTGAAATAAAAAAAATCATATCGTTTATGAAAGATCAGACCTCGAGTTATCATTTCAATTTCGATTTTTCCGACGAAAATTGACTTTTTTTTTTAAAGGAAGGCTTAAATTAATTGATTATATTTTTCGTGCATGTATTAAAGATGTTCTATTTCCCCTTCCTCATTTTAGAATTCAATCAAGCAGCAGGATATAATGGTCGATTAAATTCTCATCTTCCAGCATATCTAAGTCTTTCGGTTGAGATAAGATATATTAAAAGAGATTATGTTCTTTTTTTGTTATTGATATATCATTCTATTCGATACAACTGACAAAGATGATCTTGATTATGAATCTAATAAAAATAAAATATACAATTATGTTTTATTATTGATATTGCTTCACATAACAAAATTTTTGTCTTGGTTCTACAATACAACCATTATTGTCTCTCTCTCTCTTCGATTCCATTTTGTCCATGTTTTCCAATGTGTAGTCATTTTTATGTTCCTCTTCGTTAATTCTACTTTGTGGACATTTTTTCTTACTTACCCAAAAGCAAGTCCATAATTAGGATGTAGCCATTTGAAAATCAGAAATTTAATCTGTTATAGAAATTTAACTTGAAATAATTAGAGTTATATATATATTTATTTTGAAATGTTCATTGTTTGTATATTGAAGATTAGAACGCAAAATTTGAATTGTTTGATCTAATCTATAAGCCTGGAAAAAGAATTTCCAGTACAAAGAAGAAAAATGAATGATAATAATTGAATTTTACATGCATGTGTCATCTAAATATCTTGTCTTGACAGCTGTCAGTTATTGAATAGTTCGATATATTATTAGGTTTAGAAAAAAAATGTCCTCATAGAAGTGTTTCTATTAAAAAAATTTAATCTCTTATATATATATATTTGTTTTTTTTTTATTATTAAAACAAACTAAAAAAAAAATATTTAAAATAATAATAATCAAAGACTTTCATCAGTCATGTTTTTTTGAATGTCAAAAACAATTAAGACATCGGAAAATTCTTCGACAATTTTAACCGCAAGTCTTTTCCTTACTTTCAAAAACTATATAGAGTTATTCATTACTATGAATAATTTCCTGTGGCATTGAGATAATCATTTTGATGTACAAGAGAGATTAAATAATAAAAGTTTGATTAGAGAAATTTATTTTAATTTTAACAATATAAGAGCATATTCTTATTTGAAAATCTCAAAGAGAATATGTGTATTCTATTTTGAATAATATTGTTTTATAAAAGAAATTGACAATAATAAAAACAAATCAATGATATCAGAGGATATTATAACATTGCTTATTTGAACCGTTTTGAAGTATGTAGAAGATTTCCTTTTTTTTGTTTTGTCCAACATTAGTGTTCTATCCTTATATTATAAAATTTCGAATGAATGAATAGAACAATAAACTTTCCTATCGAGTGAAGTTTTGTTTTTATTAAATTAAAAATGTTGCGAAACAATTTTTCAATGAAAATCTTTTATAATATTCAATTGTAATACTATATCAACGTAAAACTTTTTCACCAACCGTTAAATTAGTCTTATCTACCGTAAATAAATTATTCTCAATATTCGTTGAAGTTATAAATCCGATAAGATTTTAAATTATTTGTCAGCTTTGAATAATATTGTTCTTTGCTTCACTATTCTAATTGATATTACGATTATTATCATTGAGTAAATAAAACCGACATGCAATCAGTAGAAGTCTATTGTATAACCTCCTTCCCTGATCTACGTCAATAAGCATTACATGTCATGAATCATATAATCGAAAAGTACGTCAAAATATAGAGTACTCGGTTGGATCAATGACAATACGATAGCCGCATTCTTTGATATGTTTTATCAATTAGACCAATTAGTATATAGTGTCGTCGATCTAGAGAAGAACCATTTTTTCTACTAATGATGATGTCATATGCCAGGAAAACATTAATTTTATTCCAAAAAAAGACAATTTTTGTGGGTCACAGCATGTTATGTTAGATGACATTGCAATTATTTTCTATTGATTGATTTTATCTTTTGACTAATAAATAATTTTGTGGTGCCACCTATACTAATTAGTCTAACTCGTAAAATTAAGTTAGAACAGTCGATGTGGCTAATACAGACGGCTAGAGCGTGCCCAGAATTTGTAGTTAACATGATGTCGACTAAGATTTGACATTTTTCTAACAGTTAAAAAAAAGTTAATGCATTGAGATATCAACAAAATTCAAGCAGAATAACCGCTGTTCATTGACGGTTGATTAACGCAACATGGGATGCTGATACGAGAGGTATTTACAGGGTAGGATGTCGGAAAGAACAGGATCACGTCTTTATATGCTGCAAATCTGAGCATCAAATTTTCAAGTTTTCATGTTCAATAAGAACGTTTTTTGAGTGTCAAACATCGAAAATAGACTGCAGAAGATCATACCAACTGGTATTCAGAGTTTTCATCTATAGATATGAATTTGAATGAGAATAGTAGAAAACAAAAAAAAATAAATCAAATGATCATCGAAAAATTGTATTTGTATTTATTATTTTCGTTCTTTTATCGCATTTACGTAAGAGATTAACTAATTTTTTTTTAAACAATTAATTGCTTTCTCATCAAAAGCTACTGAGCTATGGGTCATTCGATCATGATGATTCTGAACATGACGACGACGAGAAATTCTCTTAGGTATTCATATACTGTTTTTATTTAGCAAACCAGTTTTCCAGCGTACCAAAAATTGCTCTAAAATAGTTTTGTATTTATTCAGATTATGGAGCGTACCAGGTTGTCATTATGTTAATAATCTTTCCTGTTTTTTCTAAAGCTAATTTTCGCATTAAAATGTTGATATCTATCTGTTGTATGAATTAAAATGGCTGTATTTTCTGTAAACAAAAACCATTTGATACAGAATGAGTTACTGTGAGAGAGCTCCGAATCCTTTCAGATCCGATCCAGCCTCGACCGAGCTTGGGTTCTGATTCACACAAATATGGGCTCATAGCTTCCTAATTACTGCTATCTAGACAATTCGATTTGCTCTATAATCTGGATAGATTAAACAAAAATTTCTTCAGTCTAGAAAACCCATGACGACATGGCTAAATTATGTTGTTTGCCATCTATGAATGAGTACTGTCTTCATATGTCAGTATCATGATCTTGGACAAGTCATTCACAGCTATTTGTTTCAGATTATCTGTCTAATAGTATGCTGACTAAGATGTGACATACATCTGCCCTCGTGGCTAGTATGTGATTAGTCAGTGTGTACGGAGATCTTAAGCGATTATGTATAAGAACTCTGCGTCAGACCAGCCTTATGTCTGAAGCTACAACTATTAGTAATTGTAGGAAAGATACCGGGCTAATGAATTCGCCACTAGGCAACATCCTATACTGTAAGGTAGCCGAAAGGTAGAGGTATTCTTTCTTCTTCAATCTAGAAAACAAAAAACATATAAAGACTTAAGAAGATTTCTCATAGTCATATTCGGAATCAGCAAAATCGATAATCAATACTCCAGTATGTTTCGTTAAAAAAGCGATAGAATTTTATATCATAGAATATAATTATTTGTGAAAATATCACGTTAATAAAAAAAGAAGAAGTTTGTTAGCTGAAATAAATGATTTTAATTTAAGCATAGATTTCTTGTTCTTCATAATATTGTTCATACATCATGATGAAGGTTTACCATGAATAGTAATCGAAGGTATCAAACCACGTTTTTGACGTATCCAATTCTCTACAATATGATACAATTGAATGAGTTGTTTCTTTAGACAGATAATAATAAGAACTGTTGTAATAAAACCTAAAACACTAATAATAACAATAAGTACTATTGCAAGTGTTGTAAGACGTGTTTCTATAGAAAAACATGTATTAAAATGAATAAATAATGGTGAAATCTGATAACTTGACATTGATAAATCTATATTAAGATTTGTTTCATTTGTATATAAATAATAAATACGAGAAATTTTTTCTAATGGAAGAAAACGTTTTTCTTTTAATATACAATAAGGATTGGAAAAATAAGATATTAATGGAATAGATATTGAATTAGTCCATTGAATAAATTCTTCCGAGAATGTATCATATAAATATGAACTTATTGTTGTTTCATTTAATTGTATTATTGTTTTATTATTTATAGAAATAAATTGTTTAAATATTGTAAAAAATGTCAAATAAATTTTTTGTTTATATTTTAATGATTTAATAATATTTAATAATGTTCTATTAATTAATGATGATTTCAAAATAATTGATATATGTAAAATTTGATCATTATTAGGAATATTAACATCTTGAATCAATCGTGTACGAGAACAATTATGTTGAAAATTAACTAGAAATGGTTTATGTGTACATGTTTGTTGATTATCAATATCATAATCAAGTGTTTGAATAATTGATATACTAAGAAAAATTATGAATAAAAACAGTTGCATTGCTTTTTATTTTCAAAATGCATACATATTGAAGAAAAAGAAAAAACAAGAAAATATATGATTAACTTCCGGCAATCCATCATGTGTGACAGAGCAAAAGTGAAAGCAAAAAAAAATAGTTTTTTTTTTGAATTCTTGCTTTCAGGTGAAAGATCGATAAAGAAAAGAAAAAAAAATTTCTATTTCTATAATTATTTACTTAGATAGTTTTGTTTATTGCAAAGATAAATTGTGATTTTTGGTTGATTTTACCTGTATGTTATAGAAAAATAAAAATTTTTCACCGTTTATTATTTACATTCTTATTAAAACAATTTTTTTTATTTATAGGTATGAGAGATTTATTTTTTATATTAGATTGATAATATTAAACTTATTGATTTATGAAACGTGTTCACATGTGATACATTTATGAACGAACAACATTTGTGAGGATGAGAACGACAGCTTCGATTCTAAATTTATTCTTTCATCAAATTCTTGCGGCAAGAAGAAAAAAGTATGCAAACAAAAGCTATAAAACATCATATTAATACTCTGTATAGTTAACACGATCAAAATTTTATTAATGCATCGGATCTTGTCATAGATGACGATGTCATGAGGTTTGGATAGACTAAAGCCTACTGAAAGATTCAGGTATTGTATGCTAGAATAGACTCATACACTACTTTCTTATTCCATTGAGTCGATAGATTTATACAATGCATTGAAATTCTTGTAGAAGTCAAAATTTTTCACCATCTTCAGTAACAACTAGAAACATTTTCTTAATGAATCAGACTAAGAAAATGTTCTTGAGAAAATATTGAGTTTTACATTGCCAATAGCTTGAAGTAGTTCTCCTTTGTTAGATATGAAGAAGAACTATATTGAAAACTAGAGTTAGATAAATTATAAACTCCTCAAAGTTTTCTTTGTCTTCAGTGAGTAAGTTGAAATAGTTAAAGAAACATTTTCAGCAAAGTGAGCAAACCCACAATTGAATTCCTTTTTTTTGTAAACGGTACTGCCTCACTATTATTTTGTTTTTTCAGTAAAGTAGATAGAAAACCCTTCTTTCGAGAGTCAAAACTAACGGAAAACAAATGTTAACGTGTTTCTTCAAGTGCATATTTTTTGATACAAACTACAATTTTTTTTCTAAACCATACCAAGTTTATATAGTGCAAAACGTGAGTTAGAAAAAGGAAGTACTAACTGTGTTTCATGACAATGGCATAAAACGACTTACCTCTCCTTCCTTCTCCTTATTCTTAATTTCCCAGTGGAAATCTTATAAAGATTGTTGAGTCTATCTTAGATTCACAACGTTCCATCGTCTAATTGAGAAAAAAATCAAGTAAAGATGCATCCGTGTAATAATAGTTGATTTATTCATTTCTCAATTTTATTGCATAATTCGGCATTTTTTCTTATTCGTTAAAAAATTTTTCGTCTTTATTAATAAAACAATGTCTATTCCTTTAATATGCCTCATAGATTGACTTTCAATCCAAATTCAAGTGTACTACTGAATTATCATTTCAATTTATTATTCCCATTAATGCCGTGCGGACACATACACACAAAGTAATATTACTCATAATTGAGATAAAAATAAATTTGAAATTCGAATTTTCCATAAAAGTGCAACAAATCAAAAAAAAAATGAAAACAAAAATAAACAGTTATGAACTATTTCGATGCATAAGATTCATTGACATTAAACTAAAAAGTGAATCAATAATACAACAATAACAATGGATCAAACAATGTACTATAGTTTATAATAGACAATATAATAAAAATCATTAATGAATTACATGTACATCGACAGAAGAAAAAGAGTATCAGATACAATTTGAACCTCATTCATATACAATGTTTTTATAAAATTTTCGAAGAAATACAAAATCTATTGAATAAAAGCTTTTGTTAACATTTAAAAAAAGAAATTCTCAAAACATAGTACAATAAATATGAAACAATATAAAAAAAAAAAAGAAAGATTTTCAAAAATATCAGTGCTTTAAAAATGTATTGATAAGATTTTTTTTTTTTTGAAAATAAAAATATCGTTTATATATTGCTTTTATACGGTGAAAGCTTAGTGCATAGAAAATGAACAATCATTTCCTTTCAAACTAAATAATAATTTTAGGCTTCAAAATTATTTTTCGAGACTCTCACATATTTAAAAATGTTGAATCACTCTACACACATATCACGATCCAGTCTGCTTGCTGCAGACCAGTACTATCTCTATTTAGTTGAGTTCTACTTTTTTTTTATTTGAATGAGTAAAGTATTCGAGCTGACAACTAATTTATTGTTGTTGGTGCTGACCTTGAAAACAAAAAACTTAGCAAATAAAGAACTTAGTTATGATTATCAAAGTTTTCAAATTTTTAACTTGAAATTGAAAATTATTGCTTTCGTATTGCATTAGAAAAGATGTATAATTTAGTTAAGAGTTGTTATCGATAGGATTTCTTTTTCTTATTGATATATACATTTACAAAAAACTATTCTCGTTAACGCCTGTCTCTATGCAAAGTTTCAAATCGAAAATCAGTTTTTCTATTACCGCAGCATCACATATAAAAACTACCATAAAAGTGCAATATCTCTGTAACAATAAGCTAAGAATCTGAACTATTTTCAGAGTATTCATAACTCATTTCATTCTACATAATGCACATAGTCTCAACTTAAAAGCGATGTATTAATTGGGATACCTTCCTTGTGAGACATGTTTTTTTTTCTCATGAAAATAATTTTAAATAGCTCTTAAAAATATTTAATACATAGAAGAAAATCTTGACTGACTCGTAAAGAAAATATCGTCTTTATCAATCGACTATTAGTGATTATCGGTTACAATTCTGACTTAATTTGAAATAGAAAAAAGAAATCATCTTTAAGCTTTTGCCTTTCTCAGATAATTAATGTTCTACTATGATTATAATAGACAAGATATTCATTAGATATTTCTAAATTTGCTTTTTTTATTTTAGCACCATATCCAATCTGGATGATTAGCAGGTCGACATTCCTTTGGACATTCGGAATGTTTATCTTTTGTACAATTTGGTCGACGACAACCAATAAAAAGTGTTGGTGATTCTTTTCGTGTTGGAAATGGACGTGAATTCGGATATTTTTTACAAAAAAAACTATCAAATTCAAGTGTCATTTTATCATACATAATTGCATGTGGCCAAATATAATCTTCAAGAAAATTTTGATCACCTTTACCTTTATAACATTTTACAATATCAGGTGAAAGTAAATATTGTGAAACATTATTAATCAATGAACGTTCTTTATTTAATTTAATTCCCCAAAGACCTCCTAATATTGGTACATCATGTTCATGATGATCACGTATAATATGAATAGTTTGTTTTGAATCTAACCATCCATAAACAATAATTGTTTCACGTTCAAGTATAGGTGAATCAATATCACGTGACATATATATATCAACAAGTGGATCAGCTATTGGAAGAAAACGTTGCATTTTACCTGGTAACCAATTTGAAACATTTCCAAGTACAGGAATATTTGTTGAATCACAAAAATCAACATTTTTATAATTATTTTCAATACGAAATATTTCTTCTTTAGATATATCAAGTGAATAATAATAAATACGAACAATCCAATTAGGATATTTTTCTTTTGCTTCTTCAATATATTCAAGTAAATATGTCCAAACTTTTGCTAATAAATTTTTATTATCCATTTTAGATAAATAAGCTGATACACCAATAACATGTTGATGTGGACCACGTTTTGCTGATCGTTGACTACATAATGAATAATCATTGTTTAGAAAGTTTAATAGATGTGGATATAAATTTAATTGACGATGTGGACATAATAAACGATTAGTACATATATCTTTTATTGCACACGAAATGTAATAAATCAAAGAAAGACATGTTAAACAAATTACTATATAAATCCATACTAAAATTAAATTAATCAATAAACATTGATAACGCCATATAAATTTCATGTTTATTTAATCTAGAATAATAAATATAAGATTTATTTTTTTTATGGATTTATCATACAAAAAAAATTTTCGATTTATATGTAAAAATCTATTATTATATATATGTTACCAATATGTATTGAAACGTTCAAATATATCAATTTGTTTATTATTATTATGTAATGATGATTCATATCCATAATTATCAGCATGTGTTCGACTAAAAAATTTTTCACAATCATCACTTCATCGATAGCTTATTAATAAACCTAAAGTTTTGGCTTTATACCAATATATTTAAGTAATATACCAGTTATGTATACATCAGACATATGAAAAAATTTTTTAATTCGAAAAAAGTACAAAGAAGTTTTAAACGTGCATTATGATTAACAATATAACCAAAACCACTCATATAAAGAGGATAATTTTTACATGGATATTCATCATCAGTTACAATATAACATGTATTTGCTAGATATTGATCATTAGAATTTCAAACAACATAAGCATTTCGAATTTCAATACCATAAATAATTGCTGACGTATCTGAATAGTTATATTCAAGTTTTAATTGATTATTTGCCATATTCATAAGAGCAATATCTATAATATTAACTAATAAATAAGTATTGAGAAAAATATCATCATCGGTTTTTATTGGCATCATTGCTTCGGGACAATAATGTTTCTGTCCAATGTAACATAGACATATCTCGATACGTTGATAACCTATAATATTGTGGTAAACGAACTTGAACAAGATCTTAAAATAATGTTTGTTCAAGACTAATACTTATTAAACAAGTTTCATCAATATCGATAAGAAAAAGAAGTTTAAGATAAAGATGAGAAAATTTATTGAGAGATGTTATACGAGCAAAATTACCCCATGTACGACGAATAGCATTTAGTGAATCATAGTTACTTGGTTTTGAAACGGATGAACAAAAATTTTCATTTTTTATTTCGTAACTAAATTCTGCACGAATTGGCTTTTGTTTGAATAATTGTTTGGGACTAAAACTAAAATTATTCTTTTTTTTTTGTTAAGGTTTTAATTATTTATTATATATATGGACGTGCTTAATCATAGGATGTCCCATAGGAAATCATATTACTCCAAAAAGGAGTATATAATGAATTTTATATCAAATGAAAGCTCGTCAAAAATGGGATTTGTTGGTACTCAATAGTAAGAGTTTTGTGAACTTTGTAACATCGAACTTAAGAAATATTGAGAAATTTCATACATTTTTGGCATAGA